TTTCTTGGTATTCCTAATTAATTTAGGGTTTTTCTTCTGTTTCCGTGAAAAAATGATATCACTATTTTGATATACATGACATTGAATCTGTAGATCATGTTGGGCAGTGTGGACATTTTATCAACATTAATTTTTGCAGCCTGAGAACACTGGATATCTTCAATTTATTTGCATCTTCAAATTTCTTTCATCAGTGTTTTACAGTTTTTATTGTAGAGCTCTGTTACCTCCTTGGTTAAATTTTTGTTTGTAATGAAATGGGGTCTTGCTACGTTGCCCAGGCTGTTCTTAAACTCCTGAGCTCAAGTGATCTTTCTACCCCACCTCCCAAAGTGCTGGGATTACAGGTGTGAGCCACTGGCCTGGCCAATTTATTTCTAAGTATTTTTTTTGTAACAATTATTAACAGGATTGTTTTGTTTATTTTTAAAATCAGATCAGATAATTTGTTACTGTATGGAAATGCTACTGCTTTTTGCATTTTAATTTTGTATCCTTCAAGTTTAATGTAGTTGTTTATTAGTTCTGTTTCTTTGGTGGAGACTTTAGTGTTTTCTGCATGTAAGATTGTCTTGTTAGCAAACAGTGACATTTTCACTTCTTCCTTTTCTAGTTGGATGCCTGTTTATTTCTTTCTCTTGTCTAATTGCTCTGGCAGGGGTTTCTAGTACTATCATAGTTGAGTAGAAGTTTTGAGAGAGTTCATCCTTGTCTTCTTTCTGATCTTAAAGGAAAAGCTTTCAAATTGTTACTGTAGAGTATGATGTTTAGCTCTGAGCTTGTCATTTATGGCCTTTATTATGTTGAGGTACATTCCTTCTGCACCTAATTTGTTGAGTGTTTTTGTTGTGAAAGGATGTTGAATTTTGTCAAATGCATTTTTTTGTTTTGTTTTGTTTTGTTTTGTTTTTTGCATATGTTGGGAGGATCATATGGTTTTGTCCTTGATTTTGTTAATGTGAACAGAATGACATTGGTTAATTTGCACATGTTGAGTTAATCTTGCACCCCTGGCATAATTCCTACTTGATCATAGTGGATGATCCTTTTATTGTGCTGTTAATTTGTTTTGCCAGTATTTTGTGGAGGATTTTACATTTGTGTTTATTGGGGATAATGGCCTATAATTTTTTATTTTTTTTTTTGTATTCATTTTGCCTGGCTTTGGCATCAGGGAAATGACTGTCCTCATAAAAAGAGTTAGGAACTTTTCTTTCTTCTCCTGTTCTTTGGAAGAGTTTAAGAAGGACTGATGTTAGTTTTTCTTTAAATGTTTAGTAGAATTTACCCGTGATGCCTGTGACGTGATTAGATTCCGGGCTTTCTTTGATGAGAGACTTTTTTTTTTTGAGATGCAGTCTCACGCAGTGGTGAGATGTCAGCTCTGTAACCTCTGCTTCTGGGGTTCAAGTGATTCTCCTACTTCAGCTTCTTGAGTAGCTAGGGTATTTTTAGTAGAGACAGAGTTTTGCTATATTAGCAAGGCTGGTTTTGAACTCCTGACCTCAAGTGATCTGCCGGCCTCTGCCTCCCAAAGTGCTGGGGTTACAGAAGTGAGCCACCATGCCTGGTCTGATGGGAGACTTTATATTACTGATTTATATCCTTACTCATCATCAATCTGTTCAGATATTTTATTTCTTCATATTTCAGTTCTGGCAGGTTGCCTATGTCTAGGAATTTATCCGTTTCTTCTGGGTTATCCAGTTTGTTGGCATATATGTGCATATTAATCTCTTATGATTATTCGTTTGTGGTATCAGTTGTAGTGCCTCTTCTTTAACTTCTCATTTTATTTGTAGTCTTTTATTTATTTTTTTTATTTTTTGAGGTAGAGTCTTGCTCTGTCGCCCAGGCTGGAATCCGGTGGAGCCTCTCAGCTCACTGCAACCTCTGCCTCCTGGGTTCAAGTGATTCTCCTGCCTCAGCCTCCCAAGTAGCTGGGATTACAGGCTTATTCCACCACGCCCGGCTAATTTTTGTATTTTTAGTAGAGATGGTTTCGACATGTTGGCCAGGCTGGTCTTAAACTCCTGACCTCAAGTGATCCGCCTGCCTCAGTCTCCTAAAGTTCTGGTATTACAGGTGTGAGCCACCGTGTCTGGCCCTTCTGTCTTTTTCTTAATCTTGCTAATGATTTGTCAATTGTATTTATTTTTCCAGAAAACTGACCCTTAGTTTTGTGAGTTTTTTTCCCCTGTCATTTTTCTGTTTTATACTTTATTTATTTCTTCTCTGATCATTATTTCCTTTCTTCTGCTAACTTTGGTCTGAGTTTCTTCTCTTTTTGGTTCCTTGAGGCATAACACTAGGTTTATTTGAGGCCTCCCAGGTTGGGCAGGTCTGTCTAAGGAAATACACAGTGACAGGTGTCCGCCTGCCTGGGTAGGACCTTGGAGTGGTGTTTGAGGCTGAGCCAAGCCACTGTTTGATAAACTCTCTGGTTGGGCAGGTCTAGCCCCTGAGCTTTGCTGAAATTTGCTGTGGTAGGTGTCTACCAGTCTGTATGGGGCTTTGGGGTGAGCTCTGAGGCCAGATGTGGATGTTGGCCATCTAAGGACTGAAGCCAGGTTGAATTTTCTACCATGCTTCTAGAAGCAACCAGCTTGACTTTGCAGGTAGGATATGCCATTGGCTGTTACCTCTAATGGGATGCTACCACTGGCAGTAACACAGAGCTACCACCAAGATCTTGTAGGCTAGTTGCTATAAGGTCTACCTCCTTTCTTTGTTTCTACCCAACCCCAGATGATCTAGTTATGCCATTGCCCACATTGTTTCCCTTGAAGTGAGACCATTGTGAGCTTCCTGGGAAACATTGTAGAACACTGGGGAAGCTCAGTGTCTGACCGTGGCTTTCTTTTCCCACTGTACAAACTGTGGATCTAGGGAATTTTCTTTGTGTAGCACAAATCAACTTGGATGGAAACAGATGATGTGCTCAAAGTGAGACTGTTACTCTTACCCTTCTACTGCAGTTTTTATTTGGTTCTGTGGTCCATGCAGGTGTCTCAGCTCATTCCCAGGTTTGTGGGTAAAATGACATTTTCTCATCTGTGGCTAGTTGCTACTTAAACACTTTGTGTGTGGGGTGTCTGTCTTTGGACTTCTATAACAAATACCTTAGACTGGGTAATTTATAAATAGGAAAATTTTTTTTTTCGTATTTCTGGAGGCTGGGAAGTCCAAGACGATCAAGGTTCCAGCAGATTTGGTGCTTGGTAAGGGCTTGATTTCCTCCATAGTTGGCACCTTGTTGCCACATCCTCAAATGATAGAAGTGGTGAAAAGGACTAGCTGGTTCTCTTGAGCCCTTTTATAAGGGCATTAATCCCATTTATGAGGGCAATGGCCAGTTATCTCCTTAAGGTTCTTCTTGTTGATGATATTACTTTGGGGGCTAAGTTTCAACATGAAACCTGGAGGGACATAAATATACAAACCATAGCAAGGAATGAAGCCTGAGACTTCTATTCCACCATCGTACTGATGTCTAAATCAAATTATTTAATTATTTATAAAAATATATGGAGAGATAATAGGAATCCAGAAATGATTTATAATAATAGTCCATTCACAACATAGGGTTTTTTTGGCTTTGTTTTGTTTTTAACCTTTCATTTATTTTCGAAGTGTTCAGTGTAGAAGCATTTCACATTGCTTGGCATGGGAGGTGATTCCTTGCTTGGCTTAGGTTAAAAATTTGAGGCCATATATCTCAAAGCCACATCCTACAATTAATCATTTACTTTACGTAGTAATGCTAAACAAAATGTTTTGTGAAAAGTCAAAATAGAAGGTGAGCAATAAATGTGTAGTCCATTAAGTTGAGAGAATCACTGACATAAATGATGCTGTGTAAATATAAAAATATCTTACTAATATGGTAACATGGGATAATAATTACTATGTGCCAGATTCTATTCTAAATTTTATAACTATATTATTTAATTCTCAAAACTATGTTATAAGGTAGTTCCATGATTATTTGCATTTTATATACAGATAAATTGAAGCATTAAGAGACAACATAACTTGTCCAAGATTATATTGATATATTAGGCTTGTGCAAAAGTAATTGTAGTTTTTGCCTTTTTAAATGGCAAAAACAACTTGCAGTTACTTTTGTACCAACTTAACAATTGAGCTGGAATTTATTTTTATTTTTATTTTTGTTTTTGAGACAGAGTTTCACTCTGTCACTGAGGCTGGAGTGCATGATCTCAGCTCACTGTAACCTCCACCTCCCTGGTTCAAGTGATTCTTCTGCCTCAGCTTCCTGAGTAGCTGGGATTACAGGTACACACCACCATGCCCGGCTAATTGTATGTTTTTTAAGTAGAGACAGGGTTTTACCATGTTGACCAGGCTGGTCTCAAACTTCTGACCTCAAGTGATTCACCCACCTAGGCCTCCCAAAGTGCTGGGATTACAGACGTGAGCCTGTACAGAATAGTACAGAAGAAGATTTCACCTTCTAGCACCCGGCTAGAGCTGGAATTTAATGTGTGCATTCTGATTTTGGGATCTTTGCAGTGCTAGTCCTAATTGATCAACCTGAACCGCTTACTTGATTTTTTTAATTAATTATGTGGAATTACATCCACAAAACAAATGTTGACCAAAGGAAGGTAAAAAGCATCTTTGAAGATAGAAATATATCAACATAAAGTAATGCTTTAAGTGTTTCTCATTTTTTAAAAAGGATCATGGGTAATAGCTGGAGAACAAAAATGCATCAGCACAGTGGAATTTGCCATAAGCATTTTTTCTTTTCCTTTCAAAAAAATACACTATTTCTACAAAACACATATATGCTCATTGGAGTGATACAGTTGTTTGAAGTAGCAAAAATAAAAAAACGGCCCTTATTTCTAACCTTAAACTGTGAATCTCATAGAAGTTTGCACGTTTATATTGTAAATATAGAACATACATTTCTGATAATCATAGAAGCATACTTCTAATTCTTCTAAATATCATTTTTGACATTTCTGCAGGCCTTTCTACAAGTCATTTTGCTTGGGCATTTCACTCAGTAGCAGAGGAAGAACTGCTGAACATGTTGCCAGCCATGCAGAAAGATGATCCCACTTGGTCTGAACTAAGAGCTATGGGTGTGGGGTGGTGGGTCCGGAATACCCGCATCTTACGCAAATGCATGGAAAAAGTAAGTGTTTTATTTTGGTTTATAAGTGAGTTAATGTTTTTTGGACATTTTTTAAAATGTCATTCCTTATCTTCTCTGCCATTACTCCCTCTTGTTTTTGAAGAAGCAAAAGGCTTTTGAATAGTCCATATTTCATTTATAACATATTTCAAAATATGTTAATATAAAGTTTTGAAATATATATTCTAATTCCCAAGTTTTTAATTGACACATTCACTTAGTAGCATATGTCTGATTTTACAAAATAATATATGTATATGTTTAGAAAAATTTAAAAATAGTACAGAATAACTTCTAATGAAAAGGCAGTAGTCTTACTATTTCTTCTCTGTGTCCTTTGAAGCCATCACCATAAGTCACTTTTGTTATTCTACAGTGCACATATTATTATTTTACATATTTTTAAAATTTTATTAAACATTCTGTGGATAATATGTGCCAGCCTTGCATATGAAGGAAATAACTTGTTCAAAACTGTTTCTGTGAAATTTTGACCAATATTTTTTGATTATAGGTAGCTAAAGCAGCCTTTTATAGAAAGAATGATCCTTTAGATGCTGCCATTTTTTACCTTGCAATGAAAAAGAAAGCTGTGATTTGGGGATTATATAGGTAGGTAAAAAAAAAAAAAAAAAAAAAAAAAAAAAAAAAAAAAAAAAACTGCTTCAATGTGAAAAATCTGGTCATAAGGAGTAAATGTATGAAGTAAGATTTGTTGTTCTTGATTTGAATTCATGTAGATTCTTATTAAGAGAGAGATTTCATAAGGGAAAGGCCCCAAGTGGTTTTTTTTTTTTTTTTAGAATGGAAGAAACCTGATGAGGTCAGTTTAATTTGTTTTCAGATTTATCAATCCAGAAACAAAATATTGTTTATTTTAAGAACTTCTTATCATGCTCCTGTGAAACAAAGGTAATGTATTAGTCTGTTTTCATGCTGCTGATAAAGACATACCCAAGATTGGGCAATTTACAAAATAAAGAGGTTTATTGGACCTACCATTCCATGTGGCTGGGAAGGCCTCAAAATCATGGCAGAAGTTGAAAGGCATGACAACAGACAAGAGAGAAGAGCTCGTGCAGGGGAAGTCCTGGTTTTAAAACCATCAAGTCTCTTGAGACTTAGTATCATAAAAATAGCATGGGAAAGACTTGCTCCCATGCTTCAGTTACCTCCCACTGGGTCCCTCCCACAACACATGGGAATTCAAGATGAGATTTGGGTGGGAACACAGCCAAACTACACCAGATAACTAAACCAGAAACTTATATTTAGGACAGGGAAGAAGATAAATTAATTAGTTGGTGGAATCTGGAACAGGCATCTACCTCTGTGCTACAGGCCAGCCCTACCCCTCAAAACTGCCTCCCTCCTGTAGGTGGGCCTCACCTTCTTTCTGAGCTAAATTCACTTAGAATTTTTCTCCCTCACGTCTGAGCAAGAGTGGTGAACAAGATTACGATAAATAGTTCTTCATTTGTTTTGACTTTATTTCCAGAGGACCCACATGAACAACCACCTTTGGGGTAAAATCATGATAACAAATGGGTTTTCTAAGAGACTAGATGATTTAGGGTTGTTTTGATTCAAAGCACATTCTTTAGATTTTATCTCTTATCTAGGTAATTTTCAGATGGACAGGGGCGAAAAGTTACTGATGAGTTTCAATGGTGGCACATAAATTAATATAAATTAAACATTTTGCATGGATTTAAAAGTAATTTTCACAGTCCTACTAATGTAGTTTCCTTTGTATTTTGAAAGAAAAATTTTTTGTAATCTCTCTTGAGACTTACATAACAAATGCTTACCTAATACATTTTTTTTTTTTAGACAGAGTCTTCCTCTGTCGCCCAGGCTGGAGTACAATGGATCACTGCAACCTTCACCTCTGGGGTTCAAGCAGTTCTCTTGCCTCGGCCTCCCAAGTAGCTGGGATTACAGATGCCCACTACCACACCCGGGTAATTTTTATATTTTTAGTAGAGACAGGGTTTCACCATGTTGGCCAGGCTGATCTCGAACTCCTGACCTCAGGTCATCCGCCTGTCTTGGCCTCCTGAAGTGCTAGGATTACCTATATGAGCCACTGGTCCCAGCCTACCTAATATAATTTTTACTGGGAAAAGAAGCACATATACAGTAAGTTATGAACTGGCAGATGTTTCTGTTGAGCCTTAGCTGTTAAATCCTAACTTTAGAAAATTGATTCTGATGTTAAAAAAAAAAAAAAAAAAAATTGTATTCCAAAATTTTCATACCTCTTTTTCCTTTGTAGAGCTGAAAAAAACACCAAGATGACACAGTTTTTTGGACACAATTTTGAGGATGAAAGATGGCGTAAAGCAGCTTTAAAGAATGCTTTTTCTTTGCTAGGCAAACAAAGATTTGAACATTCTGCAGCGTTTTTTCTTTTAGCTGGCTGCCTCAGAGATGCAGTTGAGGTAATGAATAAAATTTAAATAACAAAGAATAGCAAAGTCATCTTTTAAAGCTCTTTAGTGCTTAAATTTTTAATTTTATTAAATTTTTAAATTTCAACTTTATTGCAAATAATACAAAGCTAAATACCTAAAATAACTGTTCATATTTAATAGAAACTTTTAAAAATTTGACTGTTAACTTGGATAGTATTTATACAGAATTAAGATTAACCAAATGGTGTTTGTTAGTTGGTAGAGATAGGTAATTGATTTGACTCTTAAGAATATTCATAAACAAGTTAAAAAAATTAAAAGGTTTATGTTATCAGTTTAAACATATTTGAACCCCATATCTATCTCTGTATTATTTGATAAATGTTAGAAAATCCTTAACTGATTATTTCGTAGTAAGCCTTAAAAAAATTATGAATATTTAAGATAAAACGTTTCTGTCTCGAATTGCCCTTTTGCTCAGAGTTTCATACAAGTAATTCAAAATAGGCTTTTAACATGCAGGCTAAAGTCTCCAGGGGCAGATGGAGATTAATAGTAGAGGTTCAAGTCAAAAAATAATGTAGATTGAATTGACGTCATTTAAAGTATCCATTATTTCCTCATTTAGTCTACTTTTTTGCACATAAATATATTTAGTACTAGAAGGTAGATTTGCAAATATTAAATGTTGTCAAGTAGATTTGCTAAAAGGAAGCAGCATATATTTTGTTTCTTACCCTTCTTTGCTAATTTTGGATATTAATAAGGCCTTATATTTTTCCAGTTATTAGTGAGTTAATTGAATTTATACTAAAATGAAACCTGCTCCTGATTATTTATAAACAATATTTTCTTTTTAAAGGTATGTCTTGAGAAATTGAATGACCTTCAGTTGGCTCTTGTAATAGCAAGACTCTATGAGTGTGAATTTGATACAGCTGCAACATATAAATCTATTTTACGTAAAAAAGTTTTGGGAATTGATTCTCCTGCCAATGAACTTTGTTCCTTGAACATAAATATGCATCATGATCCTTTTCTTCGGAGCATGGCATATTGGATTTTGGAAGATTATAGTGGTGCTCTGGAAACATTAATCAAGCAACCTATCAGAGAGTGTGATGGTAAGCTGCATTTCTAAGATGTTAATGATTAAGAGTGTTATTGGTAATTGCTACATGTGCAGACCACTCTATGGTGTGATAAGGGTAATACAGACAAATTGAATTCATGGTCTTTATAACAGTTTTTGGTTGGTTGGTTTTTTTCTCCAGAAAGATAAATCCTTTGAAAACAAAGAACTTGGGATTTTCTGTTTTTAAAAAGTAGATTTATTGAACATAAATATTGTCAACACTTGAATATAAACATATTGAAGAAATACTTTTATAAAGCCAGTTTTTAAATCTTAGGCTGAATTTAGTGTGTTTGTCCATCAGTTTTAGAATTCTTATAGTGTAAAATATATTCAGTGTAAAAAAAAAAAGTTGACTTAGGTGATGTGAATAGAAAATCTTAAGCTAGATAAACCTGACTGTCTTGTTCATGAGATAAGTGAAGTAGAGCATATGTACTCTTTTGGGTCTACTAGTACCTTTTCTTTTAGAAATCCTCTTTGCTAAAACTTTCTTAGAGTTTCACATAAAATGGAATTTTTATAAAGATTCTATAAAAATGAGATTTGCTTTTCAGATACTTTTCCATAGATTGAATCGTGTTTGGTAGCTGATAAAATAGGTATTATATTATTTGAAATACTAATTGGAAAAGGTTCTAGTTCGTAGATTTTTATGTGGCATCATTTAATTGGGAAGTGGTCTTTGCCTTATTTTCTAAACCTTTGAGAAAGCTGTGTGACTCATTTGTGTTTAAGTCTTCTAGCCATCTAAGCTAAAGATTTTCAAACTAGCCTCTATGTATTGAAGGGAAAATGTAAATGCCTTTTCTAGCCACTTTCTTTTTTAAGTGTTTTTATTTTTTAAAAAATTTAGAGACCTCATCTTGCTTTGTTGCCCTGGCTTATCTCAAACACCTGGCCTCAAGCTAGCCTCCTACCTCGGCCTCCCAAAGTCTGAAATTACAGGCATGAGCCACTGTGCCTGGCCCTCTTTTCTTTTCCCCTTTCCTTTCCTCCACTCCCCTCCCCTCCTCTTTTTCTTTATTTTCTTTCTTTCCTTTCTTCTTTTCTTTTCATTTTTCTTCTCTTTCTTTTTTTCTTCTTTTTTCACATGGAGTCTCACTCTGTCACCAGGATGGAGTGTAGTGGTGCTATCTCACCTCATTTCAGCTTCCACCTCCCAAGCTCAAACAATCTTTCCACCTTAGCCTCCTGAGTAGCAGGGACCACAGATGTGTGCCACTGTGCCTGGCTAATTTTTTTGTATTTTCGGTGGAGATAGGGTTTCACCATGTTCCCTGGGCTGGTCTTGAACTCCTGAGCTCAAAATGCTGGGTTTATAGGCATGAGCTACCACACGCAGACCTGGCTCACTTTCTTATACTTACAAATATTCATGTGAAAATTGTATTTTAATTTGGGACTAGTACATGTTTACATACTTTTATTACCAATTAATCTTGTATTCTAGAAAAATATTTCAAAAAAGATAATGGTGGCTTGGACCAGAATGATTGGAGTGGAGGCAGAGAGATGTGGTTGGATTTGGGATATGATTTTAAGATTGACTAGATAGGACTGGATTTGATATGGAATGAGAAGGAGTTAGGAGTCAAAGGTAACTCTTGGCTCAACAGGTAAATGATACAGGGAAGTATTGTTTTACATCATGAAGCTTTCTCTGATAAGGTGACATTTGAGCAGAGAATTGGTTGAAATTAGTGAGTTAATCAATGTAGATATGGGTAAAGAGTGGTTTGGGTCAAGGGCACACTAAATAAAAACGTCCCAAAGCAAGAGTTTATACATGTAAGTGGAAACAAAATGTAGGCTTTTCAATATAGGAGTTTAGATTTTCAGTGTTAAGTTGGGACTGGAGATAGAGATGATGGCCAAGTTATCATTTCAGTATTTCATTGGATGTTACTGAAAGTCATGGGACTATATGAATTCAACTCAGAGAATATAGATAGAAAAGAAGTCAGCAGTTGAACCCTAGAGGAATCTCAGCATTCCAAGGTAGAGGAAATGAGGAGGACTAACAAAGCAGACTGAGAAGTATCCAGGGAAGTAGAAAAAGAACTAAAAGTCTGTAACTGGATGTTTTAAATTATCTTAGAATATTACCTGAAGAGATTTGTTTCAATGGGAAAGCAGCATAATCTTTGTTTTCCTACTTCATTAGAATATGTTAATTATAAATGTGTTGTTGCCTCTTTAATGCCATGGATCATTGTGGCCTATTAGTAAAACTGTGTCAAAGACCCTGTAGATAAAGGTGTCGTAGTAGATAGAGAAAAGGGACTACAATACAAACACCCAGTTCAGCTCTTGAACAACTTTCCTTGGCTCATGAAATGAATTTACTTTCAGATCAACTTATGTCAGCCTGTAGTCCTGCGGTTTTTAATTTCTACAATTACCTAAGAACACATCCTCTTTTGCTGAGACGTCATTTTGGATCATCTGATACATTTTCCACACATATGAGTCTAACAGGAAAAAGTGGACTGGCAGGAACAATTAATTTAAGTGAAAGACGATTATTTTTTACTACTGCCAGTGCTCATTTAAAAGCTGGCTGCCCAATGTTGGCTTTGGAAGTATTATCAAAGATGCCTAAAGTCATCAAGAAAACAAGACCTTTTTGTAGAGCTTCTAGTTTTCTGGATACTAGTAAAGCCTGTTCTCCTTCTTCTCCATTAAACTGGGATGCAAGGGAAGATAAGTCTTCTGCTATTGATTGGTCACAGTCACTGATGAATGGTTTTGGATCTTCTTCAGAGGGTTCCTCAGAGAAGCAATCAAACTCCACTCTTTCTTTTGACTGGAGCCAACCAGGTGTTGTGTTTCAGGATGACTCTTTAGAGTTAAAATGGGACAGTGATAATGATGAAGAAAATGAGGATGTCCCTATTTCAATGAAAGAAATAAAATCTTTACAGAGAAAAACAGATAAAAAAATAGATGAAATCAGTTCTAATTACACAGAATCTTTCAGCACACTAGATGGAAATGACCTCTTAAATCCATCAGAAGATATAATTGCAGTTCAATTAAAATTTAGAGCATGTTTAAAGATTCTCACAGTAGAACTTCGTACTTTATCTACCGGCTATGAAATAGATGGTGGAAAATTGCGTTACCAGCTCTACCACTGGCTTGAAAAAGAGGTGATAGCTCTTCAGAGGACTTGTGACTTTTGCCCAGATGCTGAAGAACTACAGTCTGCATTTGGCAAAAATGAAGATGAATTTGGATTAAATGAGGATGCTGAAGATTTGCCTCACCAAACAAAAGTGAAACAACTGAGAGAAAATTTTCAGGAAAAAAGACAGTGGCTCTTGAAATATCAGTCACTTTTGAGAATGTTTCTTAGTTACTGCATACTTCATGGATCTCATGGTGGGGGTCTTGCATCTGTGAGAATGGAATTGATTTTGCTTTTGCAAGAATCTCAGCAGGTATGTAATTTATATGACAGTCAAAAATAGTACATGTCTAAAACTGTTTTTGATGTTGCTTTTTTGGTTTTGAATACTAAGACTTGATTTTCTTCATTACAGTTGCTTTAGGGAATGTTCCCTTCTGTGTGGTCCTTCATATTATGAATTAGTAGAGTTGTGTATTTACTGTAGTTTCAAGCAATTCAGTATCAGGCCTTATGACCTGCTTAACTCACACCCAAACTCCTTGTAGGGTGACAAACTTCTTATTGCAAGAGGATATTATCTTTTTATTTTTCCTCTCTGTTCCGCCTCAATGTCTTACTTTTAAATATGATTATTGGAATGCTGACTTCTTCAGGTCCTTTCTAAGTTTCTATTATGCTTTTATTTTTTAATTGCTTTGAAGTGAGAGCCTTTGATTTACTGAAGTAATGGTTTATAACTATAAATAGTCCATTAACCTTTTTTCCCTCTTTGTTTTTAAGGAAACGGCAGAACCGCTATTTTCTAGCCCTCTGTCAGAGCAAACCTCAGTGCCTCTCCTCTTTGCTTGTACAGCCAGTGCCAAAACAGTAGTTGCCAATCCATTATTGCACCTTAGTAATCTAACACATGATATTCTCCATGCCATAATAAACTTTGATTCACCACCCCACCCTGATATCCAGAGCAATAAAGTAAGTATGCTTAGTTTCAAGCTTTTAATTCATCTGTACAATGATAAAACTACAAGATAAATATTAACATGTTTTTTTAAAGTAATTTTAAACATCAGACTAAGCATAGCAATTGTTACATTACGAAGTTTATGTTGATTCCTATTAAGGAAATCTTCTGGTTGTAGACCAGCTTATCATGCTCGTGTTACTTAGACCAGTAAAGTTCTTGAATTTTTTATCAAAATGCTTATTTAGTCTTAGCTGCTTTTTCAGAATAATAGGTGCATATGTAGATACATGAGTGATTCCTTTAATAGTACATTTAACCAAAAAGCTCATTGTTTTTTTAAACATAGAAAGTTAATATTTTAATGTAAAGGCACTAATATGTAAATAAAGTTTTCCCTTGTTAATATTGGAGGATTCCGTATTTTAAGGATAATGTGAACTATTTGCCCCTGTCATTTCTGAACCAGCTAGAACAGAATCACCTGCAGTGCTTATTAAAAGTTTGGATTCTCAAGTTCACTCCAAACTTACTGAATCAGTCAGTGAGAGTATGTCCCAGGAATATGTATTTTTAAAGAAGCTCCTGGTGTGATTCTAATGCGTAACTAATTTTATTGTTATAGTTAATTCTCTAATCAACCAGAGCATCCTGTTCATTATCACTTGACTTTATCTGCTGTTGATATCATATTTTATCTTTACTTTCCAGACATAGTGAAATCCTTTGAAGTATAACTGATTTTGACCATTTTCATATATCCCTACAGTTGTTTTTTTTCCTTATACTCTATCATGTAGCTCTTGTCCACCTCCCAGGTTATATTATACCAATTCGCTTTTCTGTTTGCCTGATGGTGGCCTGTTCTACAATTTTACCCTCTTTAGTACCCTCTTCTACAATTTTACCCTCTTTAATCCTTGTAATTGAATTACCTTCTTTAGTCCTTGTAATTGAATTTCACTACTTATTTTTCTGTACGGCTCTGTAGTATATGCCCATATGGCTTATTATACAGTATAGAATTTAATTTCTTTCAGATTGTGCTCATTTTAGCCAAACTATATTTTATATTTAACTTTATAGCATACCTGTGGTGTATCAGTTAGCTTTTGCTGCTTAAGAACTGTCCTGAAACAGTAGTGGCTTAAAAAGCCATCATTTATTTTGCTCATGATTCTGTGGGTTGGTTCATTAGTTCTTTGGTTTGGGCCAGCTGTACTAATGTCTGGACTCTGTCATTCATCTTTGGTCAACTGGTGGGTTAACTGGGTTCTAGATGATCTAAGATGGTATCATTTACATTTCCGGTGGTTGGCGTATGCTGACAGTACTGACAGGAGAATCTGGGTCATAGGTATCTCATCTCCAGCAGGCAAGCCTAATATATTTGTCTGGGTTCTTCAAGAAACAGAAAATAGGATGTGTAATGAGAGAGAGATTTATTACAAAGAATTGGCTTATGTGGTTTTGGAGGCTGAAAAGTTCCAAGATCTGCAGTTGGCAAGTTGGAGACCCAGGAGTGCTGATGGTGTAGTTCCAGTCCAAATCAGGCCTGAGAACCGGGAGAGCTATGGTTTAAGTTCAGGTCAGAAAGTCAACAGGCTGAAGACCCCAAAAGAGCTGATGTTTTAGTTCAAGTTTGAAGATAGAAAAAGCAATGCCCCAGCTTAGTGCAGTTAGACGGGAGTTACTCAGCCTTTTTGTTCTATTCAGATCTTGCCAATTGAGTCTACTCACATAACAGACCACAATCTGCTTAATTAGTCTACTGAATCAAATGTTTATCTCATTTGAAAACATCTCACAGACATCTAGAATAATGTTTAATCAAATGTCTGTGCACCCCTTGGCCCAGTCACGACTAGACTTTTTTTCACATGGTGGCATCAGGGATTCAAGAATAGTAAGAATAGAATTTGCAAGGCTTTTTGAGGTGTGGCTTCAAAACTCACACTTCATTTCTGTTGTTTCCTCTTGGTCAAACAAGTCAAGGCCAGCTTAGATTCAATGAGTGGAGAAGTAGGTCCAGCTGTCTTTTGCAGAAGCTGTAAAATATTATGGTCATTTTTGCAAGCTCCCACACATAGTTTTTATCATCTTCAATTAAATAATATCTTTTAATTCATAACATGTTTTACTGACATTTGAAGGAAAAATTAGCAATTAGATTTGACCTGTCATTCTTCATTTTTATCTACAAAAAGACTGGCATACTTCACAATCAGATGAGGAACCTGGTCTTTTAATATTCTAGTATAGTTTGACTTTCTTACGTAGCTGAAACTTCTCCTTCATCCTCAGTTCTACTTAATGTTACTGCTATTGCCATGCCATGTTTAGGGTCTTCTCTTCCTTAAAACAAATGCCTGACTCCGCTGCCTTTTGGTTACTGCCTTTCATACCCTAAAACGTTCCTCTTTTCTCTGGTTTCACTCTCTTCAAATTATTTCCCAAGGTAACTAGAATATGTGGTAGCATATTCTTTAGTGACCTGTCCATTGGTGAACTGTCTGTTATCAGGCAGTGTCCCTTCACGTTTTGGTTGAGGAAAAAGCAGATTGAGAGTTGGAGGGCTTACTTTAATACTTGGTTCATGCTCTACTGGAGAGCTGACATCTGTTCCTCTTTGCTCTAGAAAAAGAAATTAGGTAGCAGATGTGTGTTTTATAATTTCTGGTAAAGGCTTCAGTGTGTTTTCTTGAAATTTTCTCTAGTGAGACTTATGTAGATAAGAATGAGTGTTATAGAAAAAAAGTAAATAGTTTATGAAGGCAAAGAATGAAAAATTTTTTCATTTTTAAAAAAATGCTGATTATATTAGGTCTTGAAAAAAATCTATACTTTAAAAAAGTTATACTTAAAGCAATTTTGTTTTTGTTTTCCAGGTATATGTAATGCATACTTTAGCAGCCTCGCTTTCTGCTTGTATTTATCAGTGCCTTTGTGGTAGTCATAACTACAGGTAACTATCTTTTTATGAAATTTAAGAATGCTTACAGTAAGCAATGAGGTTTCATATTTTGTATGTCAGTGGTTTAGAACTATAACAGCCTCTTTCAAGTAATGCAAAAAACATACATCTGAAGTTTTTAGTACTTTCTGTTCATCTTTGAAGTTTTTATGGCAAATGAATCTCAAATAAAATTCATATAACTTATTTAGCAGCCTATTACCGATCACTGCCTTATGTCAGATACTGTGATTGTCACTGAGAATTTTAATGCAAATAATAATATAAGGTCTATTTTTTAGGGTCAGCCTAGTTAGAGACTAACGTGTGAGCTGATAAATGATATGTATGTAATATGGCATAGTACCAGAATGGTAACTACAATAAGATGGTAGATAGTAAAAGGTTAAGGGAGCACAGGGCAGGGAGTAATTGACTTGAAATTGAGAAAAATTTTGCGGAAGAATTGATGTATATGATATTTCTCTTTATGTTATAAAGTTTTACTGTAATTTATCTAGGCTTTAAAAAATAGTTTGTTATACTCTGGGGTCTTTCTGTATCTATCTCTAGTTCTTTGAAATACTCTGTTTCTTCAAGTATTGTCTCATCTCTCTTCTCTTTCCTATTAAACAGGTATTGCAATTCTGGGTCATTTCTTAATGTTCTTTTAACTTTCCCCTCCTTTTCTTTATCTCTTTTTGTTTCATTTCAAGAGAAATTCTAGCTTCATTTTCCAAATAAGGATTCATTATTCAGCAATGTCCTATTTAGCCAGAATTTATATTTTAGAAATTCTGTTTTTTCATTTTTAAGATCTCTTGTTATATTTAATAGTTGCTTCAATTTTTGTAACATTTCTTGATTAAAAAAATTTTTCTGAGTTTGAAGTACTTTAACTTAGTGGTAAGTTGGCTTTCTCAGGTGAAGATCTTTTGTTGAGTTTGTTATTTCTTACATGCTGTCAGCCTTCCTTGTTAATTTTTGGTTGTCTGTCCATTTTATGTATTTGAATTTTCTATGGGTAGCCTTACTTACCACTCTGGTTGTGTATTTCCCAAGGTAGCATCAACTTGATTTCTTTAACACTGATCCTTCAAGAATTCACTTTCTTATTATTTAGGCTTTATTTTCATTAACTTATGTTTATCTTTCCTATGGTTTCCAAAGGAATGAGGGAGTTTTTTTGTTGTTACTCTGCTATCTTGAAGTTGGAAAGTAAAGCAAGAGAAACTACAAATGCATCAAAATGTTATAACCAATGAGATTTCCTAATCATAACATATTTACACCAATAAATGTGCTATGTTTAAGAATTATATTCATGTGCTTAATGTGTGATGTAGGAATTTCTAATTCCTATAATTCATAATTCCTTATACCATTTTCTGTCAGAATTATTTCATAGTTTATGTCAAGCAGCAAGTTATTTTGTTTATTCATCTATTAGACTTAGCTTTGCATCTTTTACTTGGGGAAGCTTATCCTGAATTCCCAAATTGTGTGAAATACTCCTCTATTTTGCCGTGATAGCATCACATACATAGGTTTCGTCTTTAAGAGTAGTATGATAATATTATTTGTGTTTTGTTCCCCCACTAGAGTAAATTTAATGGGGACAGAAACATTGTTTTTCCTTGAATGCCTAGTATCTGCTGCAGTGCCTGAAGTGTAGGGATAGGCTAGCCATTCTCTATAAAAGTGAGCCTAAACTTACTTTATTTTCAACCAGATAACTATGTTTTTAAGTCCAATATGTAAGCTTGCCACTTGTGCATAGCAATTTAGTTTTCTCATTTGTACTTATCCTGTCTCTTAAAACTTGCCAAATGTGTTTTAATTTAGAAAAATGTGTATATTTACACTTAAAGGATACTTTGTTTTCATATAGCACTAGACTGTGCAGTGTTCTACTTAGATGTACTAGCAGTATAACTAATAGACAGAAATTTGTACTCTTGATATTAGATCTGAAACATGAAAATATTATATATGAAATTTATCATAGATTTAAATATTGTTTTGTTCTCTCAGTTCATGTCAAACGAATCAGTTTACTGGAATGGTATATCAGACAGTACTGCTTCCTCATCGACATTCTTTGAAAACAGGAAGCTTAGATGAAGCAATAACTCCCAATACATCACCAGCTCAATGGCCAGGTATAAATAATTTTCATGTATAGATCAGTTTTTTCTTAGTCTTATTTATAATCTTAGATAAGTTGAAAGACGATTTGTTTAAGTTTTGTCACACGATAATGATTGTTAAATATTGTTAGAATTGATACCAGTTCAGTATTCACCACTCATTCTGAATTATGCAGTTACTTAATGTTAGTATTTCCTTGATCATTATCTTAATATAACTCAAATGTTTTGTAATATAATTTTTTAAATCATTTGGCTTTTGTCATACTAGAAAAACACATCAATGAAATTTCATCTGAGATTTTAGTCATTAGAGATTTTAATATTTAATGTTACAGATTTTTAATGTTTCTCTCAAATAGCTCATTTGTGCATTAACTGTAATAACTGCTACTAGTCTATGAATCTAGGGAAGAAATACAGTATTAAATCCTGATGCAATACCTTTTTTGCTAAAATTAGAAAAATATAATTAATTCTTAATTTTAAAAATTTATAGTCAGTGGCAGCTATGTTTGTTTGTTCTAGGAATAACTTGTCTAATTCGACTTTTGAATTCTTCTGGCGAGGAAGCCCAATCAGGGCTTACAGTCTTACTCTGCGAAATTCTCACAGCAGTGTATCTTAGTCTCTTCATCCATGGCCTGGCCACACATTCAAGTAATGAACTATTTAGGATTGTGGCCCATCCTCTAAATGAAAAAATGTGGTCTGCTGTATTTGGTGGAGGTGCAAATGTTCCTAGCAAAGAACGGACACATTCAAAAGCTTTACCTGGTGAGTTTTAAGTTTTTTTTAAAGACTGAAGCTTTATTTATCTGAGTGATAACCTTCTCAAACGTAATCACATTTTAATTTAGTTATAGAAAGTTCTTGTTACAGACCATTTGTGAAAAGCATGAACAAATAGTTATACAGTGAAAATGTAATATTAAAGTTTCTGGTGCAGTTTTTAATCTTTAAAATATTCCTGTACCAGTAATTAGAATGATCTTATGTAAATTTGTTAAATATTTTGCAATTGAAACTTTCATTTATTTTGAAACACACTGTAATATTGGTTTTTGTTCTATCCCAAATACAGATTATTTCTTCTTTCTTTGGCAGGAAGGCACTTTGCTATGCCTAGTCCCCACCAGGTAGTGGTATTCTCCATGGAATGTGTGGGCTTTTCCAAAGCTCTTTCAGCCATCAGTTCTCATAGCCCTCCCAGTCTTGCAGGCAAGATATGAGCTTTAGAAATAGGCTTTTATCATTCAGCTTGCTTTGTGTTGTTTTGAGGGGTTGGGGTACAGTGGGCCAGTTTTATTTTGTTTGGCATTTATAGAAAACTGAGAAGTTTCCTTTGATCAAGCCATATTTTTGATTTAAAACAATGATTAGCAGTTAGAAAACCGTCTCTGGTATTTTGTTCTACTTTTAAATTCTTTGTTTTTTATATTTTTCTGTCCCTTAGACTTTAACATTTTAAAGTGTATAAAAATAAAACGCTGTTAGTGCTAATCATAGAAAATCAGACTATGGCTTGAAATGACTAGAAAAACATTTCAAATTAGGCTGCTTTATGCTTTGCATATTATGATTCTGGCTGTTAGAGTTTTTGGATTTCTAAGTGTTCATGATACCATGAAAAGTAAACATTTTAAACAATTATATCCCTTTTAAAAACTTTCTAATGTTAAAACTGTATTTTTTTTTATGTGTTAGTCCATGTGTGATAATCTTGGCTTTCCAATTTTGGAGGACATAAGGAGAAAGTTTATTTTTAATAAATAGTACCTGAAAACTTATTTCATTCTATATCAATGTTGAATAAATTGAAAATGTTAAATGTTTTTCCGAAAAAAAAAAAAAAAGAAAAGAAAAACCCTTTGCGTACATTTAAGAGAGAAGCTCAGCAAGATTATTCATCTCCTTATGAATTTTCACTTACTTCTTCCCTGACATTTACACTGAACATACACTTGAACATATAGGTATATGTGGGCTTGGATATATATGTGTTGGCAGGTCAGGCAGTTGGTGAGGGACATGAGAGAATAAGAAAAACTTGAATTTGGCTTAATTATTGAGGAGAAAATTATTGCCAAGATCTGTACCATGATTGATGTATATTCTTTGAATGAAGCTGTATTAAAAGGAAGTTAGAAAAGTTATTCTCTTGTTAAAATATTAAAAAGTTATTTGTAGCAATGCTGGCATATATTTATACTTTTCAAAAGCAGTTTCCACTAAGCTGTGGCCCTGCATGACTATATAGCAAAAAATTACAATGGCCTAGCTTCTACTTCCTCTCCTTAATTGAAATTGTTTCGTCAATTACCTAGGACTCCCAGACTTTCTAGTCTGGGTCTCTTACTCTCTTCAACCAAGAAAAAACAGGCAGGAATTTCTTTATGTATAATACTTACCATGAGGCAAATTCAGTTTATAACTTAAAGCAGAGTTCAACCAGCTTTTTTTGTAAAAAAAAAAAAAAAACTAAATAGATAATTTAGGTTTTGCAGTTCAGTCGGTATCTCACAACTATTTAGTTCTGCCCTGTAGCACAAAAGTAGCCATAGACCATTTTTAAACAGATGAGTGTAGCTGTGTTCTAATAAAACATTATTTGTTGGGTTGCAATTTGCCAACTCCTGCTTTACAAGTAGAAGCAATTTATTATTGCTTTATTTGGAATAAAATATTTGCCATCCTTGTTAAAGGAATTTCATTTTAGAAACAACTAAAGTTAATATTTTGGGGCATGGAGTTCACTGTGGGTCTGTCATTTCACCTAGTCACAATTTGTAGTTATGAAATAGTATAAGTAACATCAGACGGATAGCTTATAATCATCCCTGCCATGGCCCTTAGCTTCCTTGAACAAATGTAGGGGCTAATTCAGTTTTTGCTGTTATAAAATATTGAAAATGCAGAATGCTAATATGACTTCTCCAGAGACCTGATACCATCCTGCCTAGTACTTATCCACCTATCACACTTTGCTTACTAATTAGATGGCTGTTTTATCTCTCTGGTCCCTGTTATTTGCCCTAAATTAAACTTATTTCCTTCTATCTCTTCTTCTGCACTTCAGATTACATATGCAGATTTACCGTATTTGCCAAATTTAACTTTGCTTATTAAAATATTAAGTATTTTAATATTTGTAACATTTCTGTTTTTTAAAAAGTTGTTTATTGTGCTTTTTGTATAGATTTTTTTTTTAAGAATCTCGCATGAAATTTGTCTTGAACTATATTTATACTTAAAATACCTGAATTCCATTGAAGAAAAACTTTTAAAGTCTAAGGGCATTAAGATCCGTAGCTCTTTTGAGTTTAAATTAAAAATTGGTGGCCGGGCGCGGTGGCTCAAGCTTGTAATCCCAGCACTGTGGGAGGCCGAGGCGGGTGGATCACGAGGTCAAGAGATCGAGACCATCCTGGTCAACATGGTGAAACCCCGTCTCTACTAAAACTACAAAAAATTAGCTGGGCATGGTGGCGCGTGCCTGTAATCCCAGCGACTCAGGAGGCTGGGGCAGGAGAATTGCCTGAACCCAGGAGGCGGAGGTTGTGGTGAGCCGAGATCGCGCCATTGCACTCCAGCCTGGGTAACAACAGTGAAACTCCGTCTCAAAAAAAAAAAAAAAAAAAAAAAAATTGGTAAATTAATTTTGACCATGTTTTTAATATGTTCTGAGAAAAATTCATTTGTTGAGACTCTAATCTTGTTGATGTAAAATGTTAAAAAGGGATAAATTCTTGCTAAGGAAGGTTCAGATATACATAAAAAAGAAAATGAAAAATACATCCTTACTAAGCAGCCATCACATCTCTCAATTCCATCCATTTCTCCTGAGCACAGATATATGTAAAGAACCTTACTGAAAGTCCAGGTTGATCTTTGTATAAGGTTGGTGCAAAAGGAATGGCAAAAACCACAATTACTTTTGCACCAACCTTATTAACCACTCTAGTTGTTGGTTGTAGGCAAAAATACCATTACATAAATAATTTTGGGGGACCATCCTAAGTACCATCATAATCTCTATCCTACCACTTATTCAACCCCAAGTAAAAAATAAAGTGACCTAAAATTATCTGCGTCTATATGTCTAATCTCAAAGCAATAATAAGGATACTTAAAACATACTATTCACTTAGTGGTAGGGCTGGATGTAGTCACATTCAGGTTATATGGTACTTATCTGTCCTTGAGTACCCAGAAACTATTCTAAATACAATCATGGAAGTAATTGAAGGAGTACTTACAGAAAACATGAATGATACGGTTTGTCCATTTGCTAACCAGAACAAAAAGAATATATTCACTGAATGATGAAACTAAAGGCCTGCTGGTTCCAAAGCTGATCTAATTTTAAAAGGAGCAGGAAGGCTGGGTGTGGTGGCTCATGCCTGTCATCCAAAGCATTTTGGGAGGCCGAGGTGGGCGGATGACCTGAGGTCAGGAATTTGAGACCAGCCTGGCCAACATGGTGAGACCTTGTCTCTACAAAAATTACCCAGTCATAGTGGTGCACCTGTAGTTCCAACTACTCAGGAGGCTGAGACAGGAAGAATTGCTTGAACCCGGGAGGTGGAGGTTGCAGTGAACTGAGATCACACCACTGCACTCAAGTCTGGGTGACAGAGCAAGACTCTGTCTCAAAAAAAGAAAAGAAAAGAAAAGGAGCATGTAGAAAGAGAAAGGGAAAGAAGTGAAGGCAATTAATGGTAACTAGAAGCAGTGGTCCTGTGGAGTAGAGATTCACTGAAAACTAGAGAGAGAAAAATCTCACAACAGAAAGTCAATCAGGACAAGGAACTGCTAGCAGAATTGGCTTTCAATATGATGTAAAGTTCTGAAATCTCAGGTTTTTGAAGGCATTATTATGTTGCCCTGAAAACATACCAACTGACGCAGGACAGCAACCTGATAAATTTTAGGTTGTAGGAAAGCAATCCTGTGTGTTTGGATTACTGCTAATCACAATCATGATGTCCCAAAAGTCTAACTGCTTTCAGTAATGTTCAATATGCATTGTTGACCAAGGAAATAAAAGGATGTATTTTAGAAAAGTTGACTTGAATCCAGTCAAAATTAATGTATATTTTAAATTTTTTATCTTTTAAATTTGGCCAGTGAAAGCTGACAAATCTAGTGTATTTCCTTTTCCAGACTATTCAAATCAGTGTCAAAGCATTGTATATTGAAGATGAAATACATGTTTAGACCCCTTAAAAATGTTTTCTAAAAAGTGTTCTGTAGGTTTGGGTGCTGCTATTATGAGAGGAATTTGAAAGTCATCATTTGTTTTCCTTGTTCTGATATAAATTTGGATTTAAATTTTCTTTGCCATGATGACCTCATGAACTAGATTTTATTTCTTTCTACATATCTATTATATGCTTAATATATCCTTATAGTAACAATATTTAAAGATAACTTAAGCTTCATAACTTAAGAAAGTTATAGATTTTTATTAGACTGTAGTCTAGCAGGTCAAAATTCTTAACCAAAATGTTAATGTATGTAAATCGATTTTTAATCAAATTTAGGTTTTTGTGAATTCCACATTATATATTAATGAAGAATTTGATTTTTATAATTAATTGAAACTGTAGTGCAGTTATATGTTTATGGAGCTCTCAATTATTTTGTTATTATGGTTAATTTTTAACATAGCGAATCAGCTAAGCAATAGCAATTTTCAAAAAATTACTTTTTCTGCTAACAGTTAGAAATCTGTACTTTTGCTTTTTATTCTATATTATAAACAAAACAAAATGGTTTTAAGAATTTTTATTGTGTTTTGTGATACTTGCAGTTATAAGAACTGTGAATTTTCTCTCTATCTTAATAAATTTATAGTAATGATTTTTTATGCCTCCAAGTTGAGGAATGGAAATATAAAATGAATATTTTATTTGTGGTAAGCATGTTGTATATTTTTACTATGATACCGCTATGATATTCTGGACATAAAGTATATTTCCGATTTATTATGCTAAATACAGATCAGAAAATCCATGTTTTGCTTTTTCTGATAAAACTTGTATAAAAATAAAAGTTCTGTATTCAGTATTCAGTGATTATCATGTCATTGCTATCATTCCTTTAGCAAAATATGAAAAACAGCAAAATATCTTGACCAGAAAAGCTAAGACTTGAGCATATTAAAATATAAAACAAAATAGGTGATTTAAAATATAATTGAATATGCAAAATACTTA